AAAATGGCAGGAACCTGGGTGCTTGCAGTTTGTTACTAGTAGAGGAATAGTAATCTGATGATTAATCTCTATGAAGAGATTTAAAAGTAAACTTTCCCATTTTAAGGCAATGGAAGGAACTCCTTGTGGATTTAATAATGCTAACACCAAGTCTAAATATTTCACTTAATGACTGTGTTAATAGGTCTGGGAAATGCAAAAAACCATGCTTGCAAACCATACATGCTAAGGAGAATACTGCCACCTTGTGTATATTGGAGGTTATTTTATTAGCATTTCTTTTGCAACAAATATTTTTTCTTTTTCTTTTTTTTTTTTTTTTGCACCACTTGGTACTACAGGTTTGTAAAACATTTTGTTTTCAAATGAAGTAAAATCAAGCCAGTTTTTCCCCCTTTTAAGTGGTAGGAAGAGTCTTGTGTTTTGAAAACATCAACTTTGGTTTAGTGTCTATATTCATCACTTTTCTGTTGCTGTGATAGAAACACTGACCTAAGCAATTTATAGAAGGAAGAGTTTATTTGTGCTTACAGTTCCAGGGGAATTACAGTCCATCATGGCAGGGAGGCATGGTGGCTGGAGGTGGCTGGAGCTGGAGCAGCAGAAGCAGAAGCGAAGCTCTCACATCATCATGCAGGCACAGGAAGCAAGAGAGCGACTGGAGATCTGGCAAAGCTTAAGAACTCTCTAAGCCCACCCCCAGTGATTTGCTTCCTCCAGGACAGCCACACCTTCTAAAAACCTCCCAAAACAGCGCCACCATCTGGGGATAAAATGCCCAAACACTTGGAGCCTATGGGGGACATTGTCATTCAAACCACCACATTCCACCCCCTGGCCCCCATAGGCTTATGATCATATAAAATGCAAAATGAATTTAGTCCAACTTATTTAAAAATCCCCGTAGTCATTATCAGTCTCAACAGTATTTAAAAGTCCACAGTCCAAAGTGGACTCAGGTAAATATCTTAACTGTAAGCCTCTATAAAATCAAAAGACAAATTACATACTCCCAACATACAGTGGAACTGAATACACATTACCATTCCAAAAGGGAGGAATGGAGGCATAGTAAGGAAATACTGGACCACAACAAGACTGAAAACCAGCAGGGTAAACACCAAATCCAGTAGCTCCATGTCCAGCTTCTGGGACTTAACTTCCAAAGGGCTCATATGACTCAGCCTTGCTAGCTTTGCTGCGTGCAACACACATCTCTCTTGTGCTGGTACCACTCCTTGTATGCAGGTCTTCTTGGCAGATGCCTCACAGTTCTGACATCATGGATGTCTTCTTGGGGTCTCCATTGCCAACCAGGCCTCACCTTCACAGCTTCACTCAGTGGCCTATCAGGACCTTCTCTAGGCAGTGGCACCCCTGCTTCATGCTGCCTGGCCTCTAAGGCTCTCTGAAACCACAGAGGAAGAATTGATGACCCCTTCACTCTTCCATATTTTTTCATGCCTCTAAAGCCAGCACCGGGTGAACGACACTGCCAAGTTTGACTGCAAGTTTGGGATGGACTCCAGCCTGCTTTATCTATTTTAGAAGCTTTTCTCTTCAGTGGCCCCTGCAGCATTTTCCTTTCACAAGTTGGAGGCTTAACTGGGTGTGATTTCGCCCTGGAGGCACTCTCTCCCTTCCTTAATCACTTTAATCTCATGCCAGGGCTCCAACATTAGTCTTCCTAGTGCTCTTTTTCAGGCCATCCTGTACCTTCTGTATTTCTTTCTGCCCCATTTGCTCCTTTTCTCTGTAAATCTGTATAATATTCACCATTAATAGCCACGCCACCATTTCTACATTAGGCTGTCTTGAGATTTCTTCCGTTAGAGAAATTAGTCCATGCTTTTCAACTTAGCCTCGGGCAAGCTTTTTGGTTGAGGGCAGACTCCAGCCAGACTCTTTGCCAAAATATCCCAACTCCTGCTTAAGTCCTTATATCCCTCTGGAACTACATCGTTCTCTGCACTGCTTTCTTCCAGGCATCTACTAGACTGGCCTGTTAAGTTCTGCTTACAGCAATCAACTGCTTTTCTAGCCTAAAGTTCCAAAGCCTTCCACATTCTTCCAAAACCCCACATATTTGAGTTACTGGTCTTGAGGAAGGTGGCCTTTAAAATTATGAAATTACAGAATTTAATATTTAAAAATTTTATTATTTTTATTTTATTTATATGTGTGTATTGCCTGTGTGTAGGTAAGTGCATCTGTGTTGTGCAATGCCTGTGGAGGACAGACGAGGCTGTTGGATCCCTTGGAACTGGAGTTTTGGACAGTTGTTAGTTGCCATGTGGGTGTTGGGATTCGAACCTGGGCCTTCTGCAAGAACAACCAGTGTTCTTAACCACTGAGCCATCTGAGACTCTAGCCCCTTAATTTAAAATTATAAATGATGGGCATGGTGATGCATATATTTAATGATAGGTTAAAAATGCTGGGAGAGTGGAGAGCACGCGGATGGAGGAGGCAGCAAGGCACAGATGGAATTCTCAGCGGGATACAGCTTTATTTCACATGGGACACGTTTCCCTCCGGGAAGGGAAAAATGTCAGGGAAGGGCAGGGAAGGGAAAGATGTCAGGGAAGGGAAAGATGTCAGCCCATGGGCTGTGAGATGGGACTTTATATATGGGGGCTTTAGGGTGTAGAAGGGGGGAATGTTTGGTGGAGAAATCAGGGAGGGGAAAGCAGGAAAAGCAGGTCAGATTAGGGTCTGGAAGTGTTTACTTTTTCCCTCTTAAGATAAGAGAAAAGCTGTTGTGATAAACAACTTCTAAAATCTCTGGTTAACAGGTAGAATCTGCTTATCTTATCTTTGGAGATCAGAGGAAAGGCAGGCTGCTTCTCAGCAGAGTTTGTTTCCCTTGACTTCAAAGGCCAAGGTGCTTATCAGCTCAGTTCCCTTTTTCGGGCTCCAAAAGTCTGTAGGTCCCTGTTGGGGAGGGGGGAAGCTGCTGCTGTTTGGAACCCTAACATTTAAACCCAGCGCTTGGGAGGCTGAGGCATGTGGATCTCTGAGATTGAGGCCAACCTGTTCTATATAGGAGTTCCAGGCAGGGCTACAGGGAGACCCTATCTCAAAAACAAAACAAACCACCAAAAAAGTAGTATTTTGGAAATTAAAAATGGAATGTTTTGGAATATTGAAAGCTGATGTAGTCGTTAATGGCTATGATACGTAGGTCAAGTTTGAGATTGGCAGTTACACTGAATTTGAGGATTTAAGACTGTATAAACCTAGCACTGACTTCTTATATCTTGTTTTTATTTCAAAGCACCAGCATTTTTTCATTGGTTCTTAGTATCATTCTTTTATTCATTCTTTTATTAATTTCTCCCCTGATCTTTATTATTTTTTCTGTCTACTGTGTTTACATTTGGATTGCTTTTGGTTCTCTTCTTGAAGCACGTCAGTAAGTTGTTTGAGAGGTCTCTGATTTTTTTAATGTAAGCATAGCTAGCTAAATGTCAATTATCATTTTCATCTCCTGTGAGAATTGGGGAGAATTTGACACTTTCTAGTGAGTACATGCTCATTTATTTTGAATTATTATTAAAAAATTAAATTTATTTTCATTTTATGTTTATGAATGTTATGCCTTCATGTATTAAGTTCACCTATGTCATGCAGTGCCCACAGAGGACAGAAGAGGACATCAGATCCCCTGGAACTGGAGTTGTGGATGGTTGTTAGGCACCATGTTGGTGCTGGGATTTGAACCCAGGTCTTTTGCAAGAACAACCAGTGCTCTTAACTGCTGAACTGTCTCTCCAGCCCCATTGATTCACTATTTTTTATTATAACTTAAAAAGAGATGGGTTCTTTGGCTGGACATTAATGTGGCATGTAACCTTTCTGTATAGAGAACAGTATTTTCTGTTAGAACACCTGCTTTTGCTCTATCCCAAAGGTTCTGATAAGATGTGCTTTCATTTTAATTTGATTTTAGTATTTAAAAAATTTCTTCCTAACCGGGTGTGGTGGCGCACGCCTTTAATCCCAGCAGTCTGGAGGCAGAGGCAGGAGGATCTCTGTGAGTTCAAGGCCAGCCTGGTCTACATAGTGAGTTCCAGGCCAGCTGGGGCTGCTGGGAGACCCTGTCTCAAAAAAGACCAAAAAAAACCAATTTTTTTTTTTTTGAGTTCTCCAGTTACTCACCTGTCATTCAGGAGTGCATCATTCAGTCTACATGTATTTGAATGGTTTCTCCATATAGTTGGCTATGTATAGTTTGCTATTGATTTCTAGTTTTACTCTACTATGATCTTATAAGATATAAGAAATTATTTAGATTTAAAAAATTTGTTAAGATTTGCTTTATGGTGTAAAGTGTAGCATTAACATTTTAAATCTACTTTATCAAAGTCTAGTAGTCAACATACCTTATAAATTAGTTTTTTCATTATAGCAGAAAATTAATGAGTGATGTTTTTCTAACATGTAAAAATACACTTTAAATTCAGTAACATACAAAATAAAGCATTTATAACCTAAGCACACCCTTCTTTTTTATCCATTTCTTCTTTTTTTGAATGCATTAAGTTTTTTTGTTTGTAGCTCTCTGAAGCATGTGCTGTTTATCGGAGTGATTCTGTTTTTAGAATTAATATGTAGATATTTATATATTCTCATTTTTACTTCAATTAATATTGATAGGCATAAGTTCTTTTAAGGTATTGTGAAAATTAATAGCCAATGATAAACCATTCAGTTTAGAAATGTTTAACAAAGGTCTTTTTATAAGAGATTTAATTACTTGTATGTGTGTGTGCATGTGCACATGATGCAGGTGTCCTTGGAGGTCAAAGGCATCGGATCCCCCCAGAACTGAAGTTAAAGGAGGTTGTGAGCCACTTTATGGGTGACTGGGAACTAAACTTGGGTCCTTTATATGAGTAGCACACATTAACTGCTGAGCCATTTCTCTAGTCCTAGCATAGGTCTTATATACATACATATATACGTATGTGTATATTTTTATTTTTTCTTCTCATTAGGCAAGAAGTTATGAAATGGAATGGATGGGGATATAATGATTCCAAGTTCTTCTTCAATAAGAAGGGCCAGGTTGAATTGACCGGGAAAAGGTAATCCTACTTTAAAAAATCATTTTATTCCTTCTTTCTACAACTTTTAAGCATGTAAAAATGGGGAGGACAATATAATGACCCCTTCCCTAATTAAAAAAATCACCAACATTTTGCCATAATTCCTTTTTATCCTGTATAACTTTAAATTCTGATGTCATGTTATGTGTAAATATTTTTGTACCTTCTGAAAAACTAAGAACCTAATGTAGTCATTCACATATTACCATCATCCTACTTCTAAAGCAACAAGCTTTTGTATAGAGTCTAGTTATCTAGTCCACATTTTCACTGCTCCAGTTGATTCACGAGTGACTTTTAGAAGTAGTTTATTTGAACAGCAGGATCCAAAGAAAGCTACCCATCTGTCTCCTGCTCTCCATGCTATTGATTTATTGGCAGTAACTTCATATTAAGTCTGGTAATTTACATCTGAGCTTGGGTTATAATGAAGGGCAACAATTTTACATTTGTTAGATGAGCATTGATTAAGAGCAAAGGGGATTTGGTGGTACTGACACGTCCTTTTTATCTAGGCAGTAATAGCATCAGAGAGTTTACTAGTTCTAGTGACTAGAAGATCATTACTGCCACTGTCAACAGCATGGATTCCTTAAAGGCTTTGTTGCTCTCATCACTGACTTCTAAGCCAGAGACCACGAGTAAAAGGAAAAATAAGGGTATAGTTTGTAAGAGCTTGCAGTTACAGATCAGGAAAGTAACTACTTGACATGTTTACTTCAAGGGAAGGCAGTTCTTGCCTCACTCCAAAACTCATACAAGGGTAATTTTTGAGACATAGAAATAGGGTTTTTGTACTCTGGCATTAAATATGTAGTACACAAGCAATTAGTAACTAAACTAAATAACTAATACTCACTTCCCAATTTGGTGCTTCCAGAAGCATCATGTCAGACAGGATAATAAACAAAATTGAAGTAAATCATTGCTTTCTCTAAATCTAGTCTGGGTGAAGTAGTAAGTTTCTTTTTTCGTGTGTGGTTCTAGGGGCTTAAATCCAGTGCTTAACTAAAATGTAAGGCAAGAGTCTCTACCACTGAGCACTGAGTTATAAATATATATATATATTTCTCCCCAGCCCTGCTTAATTGTTACTTGATTTGGAGTAGTGACTACCAGAGTGTCTGTTAAAATGTCCACACACCAAAACAAAAAAAAGTCACAGGAGGACATAAACTACTGTTTCAGAAAAAAATGATTTTGTCTTTATATCATACCATATACATAGGCCAATTGCAAGTAGATTATAGATGTAAATATATAAGTTAAAACTGTAAAACTGCTAGAATATATAGAATTCTTTCTGAGTTTGAAGTAGGCAAAAAACAGACAACAAAAGTAATTAATAAATGGAAAGATAATTAGACAACATTGAAACAATTTCTTTCCATTAAAAAATTCCTGAAAGACAGCGAAGAGATAATCACAGAGTAAGTGAAAATGCTCAATACATACATTCTATGATATATAAACAATTCTGATACATCAATAAGAAGTCAGTAATAACCTAATAATAACCCAATAGAAAAAAATGACCAAAAAACTTGAACTGCATTACAAAAAAGAAGCTAGAGAAGTAGATATGTGAATAGATGTGTAGTCTCAAAGGTGGTCAGTGAAGTTTAAATTAAAACTATAATGATATACTAATAGAATGTGCTAGTGTTTCAATTGCAGAATTTCTGATTTATTTATTTCTTCTTTATTTATTAATTAAATTTACTTATGTGTATGTAGGTGGGGCACATGTGTCCTGTGGTACATGTGTAAAGGTCAGCAGACAACTTTTGGGAGTTGGTACCTTCCACCTTGTTGGAGCAGTGTCTCTCTAGTTTCCTGCTGGGCAATATACTCCAGTCTTTCTGGCCTGTGATCTTCTGGGTGATTTCTCCTGTCTCTGCCTCTCATCTCCTCCTAGTAGGAGGTGGGTGTGCCACCACCTCCAGCTTTTTACATGAGTTCCAGGGATTAAACTGGGCTTGTCATGTGTGCATGGCTAGTGCCTCTACCCATAGAAATGTCTCCCCAGCCCTCTGTTTTATTTTTTATAGTTTTGTTTCTTTGCTGAGAGTTTTGTTACTCAGTGGGAGCATATTTTTTCTTTGACATAGCTATAGCTACTTTAAAATCCTATGTTAGGTCTACTATTTTGGGCCATCTTTGGGTCAGTTCATTACTTGTCTTTTCTCTTGATTATGGATCACACTTTCCTGTTTGTTCATGTCTAGTAATATTAGAATGTATCTTGGATGTTGTGATTAATATGCTGTAGAGACTCTGGATTTTGTTATTCCCTTAAGGAAACTCTATAAAAATCAAGCAATTAAAACTTGACTATCTCAAACTCCAAATATGTCCCTCTGTTGTAGTGAGTAGCTGAATTATCTTTTCAGTTTTTGATCATAGCTAGGCTGCTTGGAAGACCCCAATACATATTTTATATATGTGTAATTCAAAATCAGATAGATGTTTGGACAGAGTCGATATTTAGGCTCCCTTTTGGACTCTGTACTGTCCCTTTGCATATTCTAGGTGCTGTATTCATTGAAGATGCTCTGCTTTGTTCTTTAAGCTAAGGGGCTGTTGATTTTAAGCATTTTTGTTATCTTTTGTGGTACCAGTTGGAATTTTGTTTCAGGATGAAACCTGAACAAAACCCAAACTAAACCAAAGTCTAGTGCTTTTTTTCCCTCCTCCAAAGGTGCATTCTCCTTCCTTCTATATGTCCTAACTGTAGTCTGTCTATCCTGTTTTTAGATTGCATGGATTTTGCTGGTTTTGTTTTTGTCTTGACATCATAGTTATTATGGGAGGGTTGGTTGACAGGAAAGCTTGATCATTCCTGGAAGCAGAATTACAAGTTTGAAATATAAATGAGGACACCTTGCTCTAATATTTCATCTTTTTCATTAGGTACCCTCTGAGTGGCTTGGTTTTACCAACTCTTAGAGAATGGATCCAAAATACCCTTGGAGTAAGTCTGGAGCATAAAACTACCTCTAAAGTAAGTAAATCAGAATAATTACTAATATACTTAGTTTTGTTTTATAATGTCAAATTAGATTTATCTTTATCATGTGCTGTATTTATTTGGTCTAATAGTTTTTTTTTTTTTTTTTTGTTATGAAGCCTACAAGATAGTGTTATAGACCTGGATTCTAATCTGAGAATTTGTCAGATTTATCTGGCAAACTTAATTCTTTCTGAACCTTGATTATTTAAATTGAGGAGAGAAAAACTGTTCTACCTCTTCAGGGTAGTAGTGACCTGTGAGTTAACTAATTCTGTGAGAATTGTTTTTAGATAATAGGCTTATTTTAAAGTAATAGGCTGACAGTAATGTAGGATAAATGTGGAATAATGTAAGATGAAATGTAATGTTGCGTGTAATATTAGAACATTCAGAACTAAAACGTGAAAATTTGAGTAAGATAAAATAATGAAGAATTTTGATTAATGTAGTTCCACTTCTCAGAAAGTAGTATTAAAAATTTTTAAACTGAGCTAGTGGGTAACCCATTCCTGAAATCCTAGTGTTTGGGAGGTAGAGGCAGGAGAATTACAAGTTTGAGGTCAGGGGCTACATGGTGAAGCCCTATCTCAAAAAAGAACAAAACAAAACAAGATAAGACATCTACAAAAACCTTTAAACTTTATACATATGAAACCAATTAAATACTTGGCATTTTCTTATTTTGTTAATTTGCTAAACATGAAGTATTCTGCTTGTCTCTCCCAGTATATATTCAAGTCCATCAGCATGGGACTATGTCTTGTGGTATTCTGCCCTGTGTTCAGCATGTAATTAAGTAGTGTTTCTATTCTATGAATACTTGTTAAATTTATTTATAAATTCAATTTCCTCTTTTTTTTTTCTAATCTTCTTTTGTGATTGCTTTGGACATTGATATAATTGACATATACTACATTAGGAATTTTACCAGTTTTAAAATGCGCTTTTTTTTTTCTGAGCTCTTTCCCATTTTTAATTTAAAGTGCTAGTGAGTGTACTTTGGTGGAATTTTTTTGGTGATTTCCTTCTGGTAACTACAGAATAAATTTCATGATGGTAAATTGTCATTATTATTATTTCTGTTTAACTCTTTGTTGTTTCCCCAGCACTTTTGAATAGTACCTGCCTTTTTTGGAGGCACAAAATTAATATCTATTTTCTGAATGAATATAATGTCTTAAGAAGAGTGTATAGAAATATTACACTTTTTTTTACATTTTCTAATATATTCTTTATCGCCAATACTTATATTTTCTTCATACCAGGTTTTATATGTTTGACATGCTATTAGATGCTTTTCACAAAAATTAGCTCATCTGATTTGCTGTTCATATAGTAGCCCTACCATATGGTAGTTCTAATCTCTGTAAAGAAGCCAAGGTTCACAGAGGTTGAATGACATGCCCAATGTGGTTTTAACTTTAAAGCTGAAGATTAGGCTTCAAGACCCCAATTGCAATTGAGTCTCAAGTTAATAATTCTGCAGTGAGATTTTAAGCAGTGCAATAATGGTTTTATTGTTAGTGCGAGATGTCTATGGAGCATTTAAAAATGGCTATTGAAGAACATGAAATGTTAAATTTTATCTACATGTGAAAGTCTCCTTAGTCTTAATCTGAATTGAAGGTTTGAGACTTGTTATGTTCCCTGTTCTTGATTACAATCTTCATAACATAACAAAAGGTAAACCATAGAAATGAAGAGAAAACATAGGATCCTTATTACCTGTATGATAGGATGTGATTAACCAAACCTTTTGTAATTTGCTACTGTTACAAAGTTGGATTCTGTCTGTATGACTTGATATTTTCTTAAGCATCTGCCATTCATTGAATGTAAAAAAAAAAAAAAAAAAAGAGAAAAAGAGAACCTGCATTTTTCCTAGCAGAGACATTTAAAATTTAATTTTTAGAAATAAGTCAATGAAACTAATTTAATTTTTTAGGTATCCTTAAATCCTAGTGAAACACCTCCTTCTATTGTGAATGAAGATTTTCTTCATGATCTTAAAGAAACTAGTATTTCCTATTCACAAGAAGCAGATGATCGAGTGTTTAGAGCTCATGGTAAGCTACTTTGAATTAGCTTTTTATTTAAAGGTTTCCTATTATTTAATTTATTTTCAATTTTCTTTCTAAACCACAAAACAGGTCATTGTCTTCATGAGATATTTTTGCTCAGGGAAGGAATGTTGGAGCGAATTCCCGATATAGTTGTGTGGCCAAGTAAGTTGTTTTACCTCTGTATCAGTTTAGTATTGTTGAATCTTAAGTAAATATTGGAAATACATACTTTTAAATACATGAGTTGTGAAAAACATAAGTAATTGTACTTTTGAGTTTACTAAAGGTCATGAAGCCCTTTCTTGACCTAATTGTCCTGAACTATTGATTTTAGAGATTAATTTTGTTGTGGATCATTGTGTCTTCATTTTAAATATGCTTATATTTGGAGGTCTATTAAAAATACATTTTTGGTTAATTTGAAAAATAAAATACTGTTGTATCAAATAACAGTATTGGTTTACAGGAACTATTAATTGACATAGTAGATTGCTGTAAAGTAATATTTTGTTGACATTAGTTTGTGGGCTCAAAAAGGATGAATAATCTCACCAGAGAAATTTCCTTATGCAGCAGATGGTGATTAACACAGAAACCCTCAACTGGTCAATGCACAGAGAACAAGAGGTTGCAGAATGCTCATCTCCGAATAGGACACCTATATTAAGTCTCTGCTTCCCAAGTCTCAGGGATCATTGCAGAAAAGGGGGTGGAAAAATTATAAGAATCAGAGGTGGTAGATGAGCACAAAGAAACAGTTTTCCAGACAGCTGGTGGTTACTCATTGAACTCACAGCAATGGAGATAGCATGTACAAGTCCCATGCAAGCTCAAACCAGACAACATCCCACCATAGACACAGGGGAAGTGGGTAAGAAACCCCAACCCAACCTAAGGAAATTTTGGCAACTAGGAGAAGCAGAGACAGCCTCTTTCAAGGATGAGACTCTTGGTAGGTTAACCAAGGCTCCACTGGATGCACCCATACTGAAGGACATGTGGAGACACAAATTAGACTCTATCAGCTGTGTGTGTGTGTGTGTGTGTGTGTGTGTGTGTGTGTACATACACACACACACATATATATATATATAATTTAATGTATATATATATGTACATTAAATTGGGCACAGGACAATAAGGGGAGGTGGGTATAAGGGAGGGGCTCTAAATACTATGAAATTATATTGTATTATTGCAAAATTTTGGGGCTGGAGAGATGGCTCAGTGGTTAAGAGCACTGACTGCTCTTGCAGAGGACCCTGGTTTCATTCTCAGCAGCCACATGGTGGCTAACAACCGTCTATAACTCCAGTTATAGGGGAATCCAACTTTCTCTTCTGACCTCTGTGAGCATTACATGACATGGATGCACTTATCTACATTCAGGCAGTGCACTCATACACATAAAATGAAAATAAATAGATAATAGATTTAAAAAATTGAAAAATTTCAAGAAAAAAATTTAAAAAATAGAAAATAATTTTTAAACAAAACCAAAAAGCAGAGTTAAATGTTGAAACAAGTTTGAAACAAGTTATTGATTGATTTGTATATACTTCTTATCTTTGAAATGAGCAACTTTTCCCCTTGTATTATGTGTGTGTGGTATGTATGATGTGTGTATATGCATGTTCACATGTGTGTGGGCTTGTGTGTGTGCTGGTGTACATGGGTGCTTGGGTGCATGTGCATTTGGAGGCCAGAGGTTGATCTCTAATATTGGAAATCTTCCTAGATTACTCTTCTATCTTATTTCGAGTCAGGGTCTGTAATTCAAATCCAGAGCTTGCCCATTTGACTATTAAAAATTACTAGAATTACAGTCAGGCTGCCTTGTTCACCTAGCATCTATGTGGATTCTAGAGGTCTGAACTTTAGTTCTCTTGCTTGCATGTTAAGTGCTTTAACTGCTGAGCTATTTCCCCAGCTTCCTGAAATGAGCAAGTTTTGAGAAATTTATTATTTGAATTTGTCTTGGAATAGAAGATGGTTGAATTTTCTATTGTTATTTCACTCTTGGTAAGGTTGAGGTACTACTATATGTACTTGTGTGCATATATGTATACACATACATATAAACACACAGATGTACATATGTGTGTGTTTGTATATGTATATATTTATCAGGTTTTCTTTTTAACCTATCTCTTTCAGTAGATAAATTAAATCAGGACACATATAATGTGTGTGTGTATTTTTTTTTTCTATTGGTCAATGTTCTTTTTTTAAATTTTTTTTTATTCTTTTTTAGAAGAAGCATTTCATTACAGCTTTAACATATTCAATAACAGTTTCTAGAGCAAAGATACATCTCATTCAAAAGTGGCTGTAAAATTTTTAGGTTCGCTGTTGAACCTAATAACCACATACTTAGAAGAAGCATTTCATTACAACAACATTGACATATTCAATAACAATTTCCAGAGCTAAGATGCTTCTCTTTCAAAATTGGCTGTAAATTTTTAGGTTTATAGTTGAATTAATACAGTAATACAATATTGTACTCCATATAAACCCTATAAGACATAAAATTAAATGAGGCTTTAAACTTTAAAAAAGATCTCCATTTCATTATTAAAATACACAGTTTCATACAGAAAAATTCATTTT